ATTATTATTATTATTATTATTATTATTATTATTATTATTATTATTATATGAAACCAATCAGCCAGATTGGTCAACTATATTTACCTTGAGGTGATTATTATTGGATGTAAATTCTTCATCTGTGTATCCAGGTATGAACCGAGGATCAAGCGCTGAATGATGATGACCTTGTGTAGGAGGGTGGAGGGCGTCTTCATATGAATTATCCTGAGGAGCAGAAACCATGAGAGACAAGTCAAGTGATGTCCAGAAGAAGTCATCATCACTGGTAGTCCTTTCAGGTCCAAATGTTCTGGAGTCAGATGAGAACGTGTGTATTACAATGAAATAAATTGTGGTAATGAAAAGATTTGATGCAGAAAAACTGGTCCGTGCATTTATCACGTCTAGGTTGGACTATTACAATTGTTTATTATCTGGGTGTCCAACAAATTCTTTAAAACTTATTCCGTTGATCCAAAATGCTGCAGAGTTTTAACAGGAGTTAGTATAGGAGAGATCATATTTTTCCAGTTTTAGCTTTGCTCCATTGACTCCCTGGCAAATTCAGAACAGAATTCAAAATATTAATTCTAACCTACAAAGCCCTCAACAACCTACCTCAATTTTATATTACAGATCTTATTGTTCCATACTTTCCTAACAGAGCACTCTACCTGTTTGTATTTGTAATTATTTCTATCCTTAACATGTGTTTTTTGTCTTTCCTCCAATAGAAAGTACATCTGGCCCGGTCATCTTATGTTTGTTTGTTTCTACTTCCTGTCCTCTGAAACCCCAGCCAGTTGAAGCAGATGGCCGCTAGTCCTGAGCCTGGTTCTGCCGGAAGTTTCTTCCCGTTAAAAGGGAGTTTTTCCTTTCCACTGTTGTCTTTGTGCTTGCTCAGGATGGGTTGCTGTGGAGAAGTGAAGATTTAACACAATCTGCTGGCTTCTTTAGATAGATAACTTGTACTAATTAGCTTTTATAATGTATGTGAATGATTTTGTACAGTGCCTTGAAACAATTTCTTTTGGGACTTGGTGCTAAAGAATAAAGAATTACATTCTTCAAAAAAGCTTTGAGAACTTTCACCTGATTTTAAATATAAAACAACCAAAACAGACTTCCTGAGGTGTATCAATGAGTTAAGTCTTTGCCTTTTTTGGCACACAGCTTGATGTTGTCCATATAGAGGAGGTGACTGATGATTTTTCCACTTTGGAGCCATTATCATAGCCACTCTTTGCAATGATCTGACTGAGGGGGTTCAGGCCTATGCAGACAGGAGTGGGGAATATGCATCACATGGTATGTGTCACTTTTGATGCTGGCTTGTGCAGTTGGCTTTGAATGGGCCTCTAGAATTATCTTTCACATTGCCATTGAGTTCTTGATGAAGGTTGTTCTGGCCCTTTTGCATTGTAAGTCCTGGTCTGGCCTGGGTTGGCCCAGCTGAGGTTCTGAGTTTTTGAAGTGGACAGTCTGTCCCACTTCCAGCTTGATATTTGGAATCCAGAGACCTTGTGTTCCTTGGGTGTCACAGATTTGATATCAGAAGACTGCAGGTCATTGATTGGTCCACTGGCCACACAACTTCAAGACTGTAAACAAGCTAACATTAGCTAGCATTAGTGATAGAAAAATGTGTTTTCTCATTTCTCTTATTGTCAGAATATTTTTTCTGCAATGTTAAACTTTATTAGTTTACAGGTGCTAGCAAAAAAACCCACCAAGTCACATTACATAATTTGTGCGTTATTTTCCTGACCTTTTTTACCACTTAAACAAAACGACAAACCAAACTGTGATAAAGTGTCTGCCAGCTGATTGGAATGTGGAGACAGTGGCTGCAGAGGAGGAAGGAAATCCTCCTCCTTGGTACTGGGAATGTATAAATAATTGCATCTTTGTCCAGATTGTCTCTTACAATGCAAAAGAGCTACCGGTATTAGTGTCCTGATGCTATTGTACAGTTTCAAGTACTGCAGTATTCATGTGTGCATTTAGTGGTGTGCTTTCTTGTACCGTAGTTGCACAGATTTGTGTATCTGGTCTTACAGTCTGGAGCTATGAATCTAGATAGTACATACAGTAGGTTGTTCCCATACTCAGATGGTGTATAGAAATAGAACAAATACCATCTGATTCAAGGGGGAGCTGCAGTAGCTCCGTGGTCAGTGCTGCAGTCCTGTAATCCTGAGAGCCCAGGTTGCAAAGGGTATTCAATGTAAAACAATACTGTAGTCAGATCCTTAATTTGAGTTCCCTCTCAATGAATTTAGGTTCACTTCCCCTGTAGAGACGAGCAGCTAAAAGGAAAAACAACAAAAATCGGGTTCAAGATCTTACTGGAGCTCACTTCGTTGAGGTTAGTCTCAGAATTTCACGATTTCTAAATATTTTGATTTCAACCTCAAAATAAATAAATAAATGCATTTTCCCAACTTTTTCTGAATGACCTCAAGTGTGTCAGTTAATGTGTGAAATTACTGATTTAAATGACAAAATAATAACAAACATGGATTTATTACCTGACTGCATGTTTCATTGTGAAAGTCTTTCCTTCCATCCTCATTCAACCCAGAACTACTGCTCAGGACCGGTCTGTTAAAAATGGACTGTGGTTCTGGACTCAGAAGGTTGCAGTACCTGAGCAGAAAACACACAACAAGAAATTAAAACTACATTTGTCTTTCTTTAAAAAAAAAAAAAAAGTCTTATGTATAAGTCTGTGTGTAAAGTGAAGAAAAAAAGCAATATTTTTCTTTTTTAGAGGAACAATTTCCTTCAAGTGATGTTTGCATTAAAGCTGTAATTTTATCAATAAGACAAGACAATCTGAGTTGCTGTTCTCTGTTGCGTCACTCTGCAAAATGGAAGAAAATAATGATAATGGAAGAGACACGTTAAATTTGGTTACAGCATTCTCTGACAAACAGCTACTGCAGTGAAAAGTACTCGCAGAGGCTGTGCAGTCCATCAGTGAAAACTCAGAGTTGTTAAAATAATCAAACGGAGCAGGATCGTGAGGACATGTCATAAAGTGTTTAATCTCTCTGCTGTAAATCAGAACCAAATCAGAGTCTGAAGAAAAAAATGAGAAGGCATGTGGAACTTTTGGGTCAAACCAAAGGACTTAAATTATTAAAAGCTGTGTTTAAGTTATTACTTTACCCATCCATCCATCCATTACATGCTTGTTCTGAAGTAGGGTCGTGGGGGCAGCAGCTTGAGCAAGGAGGCCCAGACATCTCTTTTCACAGCCAACTCTTCCAGCTCTTCTGGGAGGAGTCCAAGGCGTTCCCAGACAACCAAAGGATGTTGTCTTTCCAGCATATCCTGGATCTTCCTTAGGACACACTGGAGCGACTACATGTCCTAGGTCTTCCCCAGGGTCTCTTCCCAGTCGAACATGCCCGAAAAAACCTCCCTAGGGAGGTGCCCAGGAAGCAACCTTACCAGATGCCTGAACCACCTCAACTGGCTTATCTCGATGTGGAAGAGCAGCAGTTCTATTCCAAGTTTCTCCCAGATGACAGAATATCTCGCCCTATCTCTAAGGGAGTCCAGCTACCCTGCGAAGGAAACCCATTTCAACTTCCTGTATCCCAAGATACTTGAACTCCTCCACTTGAGGCAGAACCTCACCCTCGACCTGAAGAGAGCAATCCACCCAATCCACTGGAATCCCTCCATGCCCTCGCTACACTGAGAAATTAGGTCCATAAAAGTTATGAACAGAATCGGTGACATTAGGCAGCCCTGGCAGAGACTAACTCCCCCCTGAAGGGGTTTGACTTACTACCAGCAATGCAAACCAAACTCTTGCACTGCTTGTATAGAGACCGAACACCAATTAGCAATGGGCCCCCAGTCCCATACTCATGGAACACCCCCCACAGTGTACTATGAGGAACACGGTCAAAAGCTTTCTCCAAGTCTACAAAACACATATTGACTGGATGGGAAAACTCCCATGACTCCTCAAGGACCCTAGTGAGGGTAAAAAGCTGATCCAGTGTTCCATGGCCAAGACAGAACCCACATTGTTCCTTCTGGATCTGAGGTTCGACCAACAATCTGACTCGCTTCTACAGTACCCTTGAATAGACCTTACCAGAGAGGCTAAGGGGAGTTAAGCCCCTATAATTAGAGCACACACTTCGGTCCCACTTTTTGAACATGGGAATCACCACCCCAGTCTGCCAATCCAGCAGCACTGCCACCGATGTCTATGCAATGTTGCAAACACGTGTCAACCAAGACAGCCCACAGCATCCAGAATCTTAAGGAAATCAGGGAAGATCTCATCCACCCCAGGAGCTCTGCCACTTTGGAGCTTTTTAACCACCTTGGTGACCTCAGCTACGGTTTTGGATAGACCAACCCCAATGTCCCCCAACACAGCTTCCTCCATGAAAGATGTGCCGGTTAGATTGAGAAAGTCTGAGAAGTATTCCTTCCACCTCCTGACAACATCACTGGTTGAGATCAATAGCACCTCACCTTCACTGTAAACAGTATTAGTAAAGTGCTGTTTTCCCCTCTTCAGACGCCTGATGGTTTGCCAGAATCTCTTTGGAGCTGACCGAGAGTTTTCATCCAAGGCCTCACTGAACTCCTCCCACATCCAAGCTTTTGCCTCAGCAACAGCCAAGGCTGTGGACCGTTTGACCCTCCAGTACTCCTCAGATGCCTCTGGAGTCCCACCAGCCAACAAGGCCCGATAAGACTCCTTCTTTAGCTTAACAGCATCCCAAACCCGGGGTGTACACCACTGAGTTCAAGGATGGCCACTGCAAGAAGCACCGACAACCTTGCGGCTACAGCTCAAGGCAGCTACTTCAACAAATGAAGTGTGAAACATGGACCACTCAGACTCAATGTCCTCCACCTCAGCTGGGATATTGTTAAAGCACTACCGGAGGTACAAGTTGAAGATCTTTCTGATGGATTCTTCAGCTAGGCATTCCCTGCAAGCCTTCACTACACGTTTAGGTCTACTGGGTTTGTCTGACATCTTCCTCCACCATCTGACTTAACTCACTACCAGGTGGTGATCAGTTGACAGCTCAGCTCCTGTCTTCACCCGAGTGTCCAAAACAAATGGCTGCAAATCAGATGACAGGACTACAAAGTCAGTCATTGCTCTATGACCTAGGACATCCTGTTGCCAAGTGTACTTACGGACATCCTTATGTTTGAACATTGTGTTTGTGATGTACAAATTATGACTAGCACAGAAGTCAACAACAGAACACCACTCAAGTTTAGATCAGAGAGGCCATTCCTCCAAAATCACACCCCTCAAGGTCACACTGTCATTACTCACATGTGCATTGAAGTCCCCCAGCAGAATAAAGGAGTTCCTAGCTGGTGCACCTTCCAGCACCCCTTCCAAGGACTCCAAGAAGGCCAGATACTCTGAACTGCCATTTGGCGCATACGCACAACCAACAGTCAGAGCCTGTCCCCTCACCAAAGGTGCAGGGAAGCCACCCTCTCATCGACAGGGAAAAACTCCAACACACAGGCACCAAGTTGGGGGGACAAAAGTAGACCCACACCAGCTCGGCACCTCTCACTATGGGCAACTCCTGAGTGGAATAAAGTCCAGCCCCTCTCAAGGAGAGTGGTTCCAGAGCCCATGCTGTGCACCAATGTGAGCCCAATTACTGTATATCTAGTTGGTACCTCTCAACCTCACGCACAAGCTCAGACTCCTTCCCCACCAGAGAGGTTACATTCCATGTCTCAAGAGCCAGCTTTGGTAAGCCAGGGTCAGAGCGCCAAGGTCCCCACCTTCAGCCACTGCCCATGACATCTTGCACCTGACTTTTATGGCCCCCTCCTCTGGGTGATGGGCCCACAAGAAGATGAACCCATGTTCATTCTTCGGGCTGAGCCTGACCGGGCTCCAGGGGTAGAGACCTGTCACCAGGTGTCTGCCAATGAGCCCCTCCCCAGGTCTGGCTCCAGGCTGGGGCCCTGGTAACCCACATCTGGGGAAGGAACACTGAGCTTCTTGTTTTAATTTGTCCATAGAAGTCTTCTAAATCACTCTTTTGTCTGGCCTGTCACATAGAGCATGTCTGCCTTGGGAGACCCTGCCTCTGGTTTCTCTTGAAAATTAGTTCTCGTGGCTCAATGAGACTACCTGTATAAATAAAGGGTAAATGAGAAGAAGAAAAAAAAGACCCTACCAGGGGTAATTAAAATAGTCCTGGATCCTAGGATCTTTCAGGCACACAAACTCCTCAACAGTGATAAGGTGGCAATTCAAGGAGGAGCTTTAACCATCTGTATGAATATTGAAAATCCCACTTCTTCTAATTTTTGCTCTTTCGGCTATTCCCGCTTCAGGGGTCTTCACAGCAAGTCTTCCTCCTCCATCTCATTGTCCCCTCACTCCAACTGCCTCCATGTCCTATCTAACTGTATTCATATATCCAACATTTTTTCAGTCAGATCATCTGGGCAGTTTCTTTTTTTGTGCTGAAACATTTTGCCTTCGATCCGGAAGGCTTCATCAGTCAAGGAAACACACAACAAAACTGATTCTTCCGCTAACAGCTTACTTCAAAGCGGAACAAACCAGTTTTGCTTGTGATAAGATGGTCTCTTTGGTACGCCCCCTCCTCTATTGCCGGCCCTCTTCCTTGTTGACAGTCGTGTCAAACTGGAAAACAACAAAGTCCATGCTCAATAATCCAGGTATACAATCCAACATTTTTTCAGTCAGGTCATCTGGACAGTTTCTTTTTTTTCTGTCCAGATGACCTGACTGAAAAAAATGTTGGATTGTATACCTGGATTATTGAGCATGGTCTTTGTTGTATTCATATATCTTTTCTCACACACAACCATCCAATGCTGTCTGGCCACACTCTCCCCTGCCACAACCTTACAGTCTCCAATCTCCCTCAGGTTTCCTCTTCTACACAGAATGTAGCCTACCTGCATACTCCTGTCTCCACACATAGCTCACTTTATGTCCCTCCCTTTTTTTGGAAATAAGTGTTGGCTACAGCCATTTCCATTCTCTTGGCAAAATCCACCATCTGTCCTTCCTAGTTTCTTTCATGGCCACCAAACCTACCCATCACTTCCTCATCCCCTCTGTTTCCTTCACCAACATGTTCATTCAGGTATGTTCCAATGACCACTCTCTCCTGCCTGGGTGACACTTTTCCTTCTATGGGGTCTTCGACTAACAGTAGCACAATTTTTGCCATCATCCTGTTTGTCGACAGCATTGGTCAGTCTACATTCCTCCCCACACCTATGGTCACAAACCTTGTGTAGTGAATGAAAAAATGTGATTGTGGATGCAGGTGGTCAAAACCACTTTTCTCTGCAGTGTAGGTGCCCAAAACATATGGCCACAGGTCAGATAACATGACTACAAAGTCAATCATTGATCTGCGACCTACAGCGCCTTGTGTAGTTATGGACACATTTGATGGTGAGGGACATCAATATTCTTGTTGTCATCTATCTGTATTCTGAAACTTTCTTTGTACTATAAGCAGAAGAAAGATGTGCAAGACTACAACTCTGCTTCCTGGCTTGGATCCTGGATAGTCAACAATTTGAATGACTAACAACCAAATTTCTAGATAGAAGTGTGGCTCAATTCAAAGTGGAATGGATGCCATCTATTTCTGCATCAGTCCAGGTGTTCCCCAAAATTATCTACATAGCCCACATTGTCTTAAGGACACCACTTGAACAGTCAGCAGTTGAACGACAACTTGAAGCTAAACATGTCACTCTGGTCAGGTTAGGGAGGGGACCAGAAAAAAAACAATAGAGTCCAACATGGTTTTGTCAAAGTTACCAGTACACACCAACCTCCGATTGGCATAACCAGGTGTCATTACTGCTGATGTGAATAACAATTTGACTGTATTTAGCCTTAGCCTTAGTAAGCAGTTTCAGGTAGGATTCAGTGTCAACCACTCTGGCCCCAGGAATGCATTTGACTATGGTTGCTGAAGTCCCCAGTTCTGCATTTCGAACTATGTAGTGTCTGCTTCCCAGCGGGTGTGTTGCTGAGTGAGGAAAATAGGTTTGAAACATGAACTGGGGGCTTATCCTTAGCAATATGACAACTCCAAACTGTCACCCAGCCAGCCTGGTTTCCTGGCTGCTCAGGGTTTACTGGAGAAGCTCTAACAGGAGCTACTCTTACAGTATCTTAGAGCAACTCCAGACTTCTTCTTTTAACGATGGAATGTTGTTTATATTTTTTCCAGCCAGACTTTGTTTTTCTTGTCATCAGCTACTGTTTGTTTTTTGTTGTAAAAGTGTTGTTTTTAAATTTTAATTTCAAACTTGTTTGCTGCTGTGACAAACCAACTTCGATCATAAAATATCTTCTTCTTTTATGTTGTTCAAACGGATGTTTGGAAGTTCTACTTTTTTTTATTG